ATGAACACTTCCAAATCCTTTCGAGCTAAGTGGGTTTTGTAAATTCTAGTCTAGACTATTCTGCTTTAAAAAGAAAAAGAAAAAAAAGTGACTTACACGTGGTTGGTTTTAAAGCGAACTAGTTTTTGCTGCTGACCCGGCGGGCTTTGAGCCCACTGAAGGAGTTGGTGTGGGCTGTGCTGCATAGATGCAGGGCCACAGTGTGGTCAGGACCTGGCTAGACAGGCGGGGTGAGTCCATCCTCGGTGTGTGCCATTTCCTTCCAGGGCCTGGCAGGGAGAGGCTCCAGTGCCATTGTCGTTTACCAAGTGTCCTGCAGCTTAGGGCAAGCGTTGAGGGTGGGCTCAAGCCCCTGATGTTGTGGGTGGGCGTGGGGACCTCTCTGGCTCCAGTGCACCCTGGGGGTAGACAGAGGCAGCCTGGCCATCCATAGGTGCTGCTGGGCATGAAGCCAGCCCTGTGTGGAACTCTTGTAACCTGTGCATTTCCCTGCTGTGGCAAGTCGGAGAGAGTATGTGGGTGGGATGCCAGCATCACCAGCCTGGTGGTGTCTGCGTGCCCTCCCTCACCCTACCTAGTAAAGCACCAGCTGGGCCGTGTGTGTTGGGCAGATCCTGTGCCAGGCTAGCATAAAGCCACACTCCACTGCCTTCTAGCTGCGTGGTGAGCACTGGACCTCTTTTACCTTCCTGGACCCTCAGTTTTTTCTTATCTGTAAAGTAGAGTTTCAAGGGAGAAAAACTAGAGACCTTGGCCCCTGGAGGAACCCAACAAGTAGTGGTCCTGTGAAGAGAGTCAGGCTGGGTGGGCCTGCCCTGGCTTACTGCCCTTGAGTCTCACCAGTGCTTGGACTTGGGGAGTACAGGGTTTCCTCTTTGCCACCAGGACTGCACAGGTCCAGCTTAATTAGTGAGAGATTGGGGATTTCGGGTGGAGCAGGAGCCCTTGATGCCTGGAGAAAAGGGAGCAGTGAGCAAGGGGCCTTGCGGACTCCAAAGAAGTCTCAGTTCCTTGTTTCACATCAGGGCTGGAAATCCCCCACAGGGTGGTAATTACTCAGGGCCTGGGCCTATCCCCTGAATTACCACGAGGAGGAGGCTGGTCAGTGGTGGGTCTGTCCGCCCTGAGCCGTCCCCACCTCTGCACGTGGATCCAGGTTCAGACCACTGAACCAGTTCACAGAACAGTTTTCAGACATGTGATGTGGGAGTGGTGGCATCCTGCACTGTGTAGTCCACACTTTTACCCAGGCTGCTTCTGAGGGCTGCTGTCCTGCCTTGGTCCTGTCACCTGTGCGTGTCCAGCACCCCTTCCTTCCTCCCGTGAGTTGAGCCGCAAATGTCGTGGGTTAGGCTGGCTGGAGTAGTGACTTAGCAAGTGATGAGGGGCTCACTAGAAGGCAGGCCTTGCTGCTTCCCCGCCTGCCCTTGGTTCTCACGTGGTGGGAGGTCTGCATAAGAACCCTGGGAACTGGGTCAGTGGTGAGGAACGTTCCCTCCCCGCCTCCCAGCGTGTGCCCCTGGGCGTCCCTGAGGTGTGAGTGAGGACAGTTTGAGGAGGGTTCTTTCTCTCCTCTCCCTGAGCCGGCCTGGAGGAGGCCAGTTTAGGGGGTGTCCGTGTGTTCCATGTGGAGACACTGGCTGCTTCACCTTCTTTCTGCCTGGGATGGTTGTTCGTTCGCTTTCCTGTCTGACCGTGGATACCTGATTGTCCCTCATGAATCTCCAGTCTAGGATCCGCAAGCACTCGGCGCAGTAGTAACAGAGTCAGTTCCACCAGTGGTCACCAGCTGACTGTGTTCACCTGGGCCACACCCTGGGCTGCCCACTGACTTCCTGCCCTGCCTTTGCTCTGCTCTGAGTGCTCCCCCACTGCCTGGCCCACCTCACCTGCGCCCTGCCCTTCCAGAGTAGCCCTCCCCGCTCCTGACACCTCCCTCTGCAGCGCCAGCCCTGAGCACATTTAGGCACCTGTGTGCACAGGGGCAGACAGCACCACCCTGGGACGGTATTTACTTGCAATAAAGAGGCCAGTCAAATAATGAAAGTAAGTGGGCTGGGACAGTGAGCAGTTCACATGGGAAGTCAGCATTAGTAGAAAGGAGGTGACATTTGGCTTCACTAATTATTGAGGAAATTCACATTAATCTGTATCTGTTGAAGGAGCCCTAATGAGAAGATGAGGCTGCAGGTGTTCAGATGTCCCTCATGTGTGAATTCTGCCCTTTTGGGGAAAGCTGTTTGGCATATAGTTTTGAGAGGTGGTTTTTTTGTTTATTAGTTTTGGTTTGACTTCATTCCCTGGGAATGAATCCCAAGGGAGATATCCAAAGGACAGAAGGGCCACAGACGTGCCAGGCTATTCCTGACAGCAGGAGGGTGTGAGTGACCCTTGAGCACTATGACCTGTAGAGCTGCCCCAAAGCCCTCTTTGAGAGCAGTGCCTGGGAGTAGCTCAGAGGCTTCCTCCCCGCACAGTAATGGCACGGTCTCTGCTGTGATCGTGAGTGAGTATATTTTCAGACAGATGGGTGCCAGGAAGGACCTAGCAACAGGGTGGCCTGTTGGGGTAGTGGGAGCAGTTTAGCTCCCACAGTGGCTGAAGTTAATGGAAGGCAGGTTGTGTAGCCAGCTTACTTCCCCTGGGTCTGTTCTTCCTCCTGGCCTCCTGACTTATGCCACTGTCTTTGCTCTGGACCCCTCTCCCCTCTCCAGGGCTTTGGTGCCATTTCACCATCTCCTGAGGTGTTGGGGCTTCTCCTGTCCACCCTGGGAGGCCCTGCTCAGATGCTGCCCTCACCACAGGTACCCCTGGCCTGCCTGGTACCTGACACCCAATCTCCCTGCCCCACGGGTCCTGTGCTGGACTTTTTATAGGCCTGGAGCCTGGATGGGAGCCTCCCCTTGGCTATCTATATCTGAGCCTTGGCGTCCCTGCTATGCACAGGGTCCTCTCATCGAGGGTGGGAGGCAAGGGCCACAGGCTGCCGGGGTGTCACTGTCTGCTGTGTCTGAGGCTGGAGGCCCAACCTGGCACTGCATAGACCCCAGGACTCCTGCCTGTTTGGTGTGGTGAGGGCAGGGCTTGGTCCACTTCCTGGTCCCAAGGGCCTGACTGCCTCCAGAATGCCAGGTGATGCTCCCCACACAGTGCTCAGTGCCCTTGCCATCATGGCCAGAGTGGGGGCCAGAGCGGAGCCAGAGGGATGAGCCCTCAGGGGTCCTGAAGTTCAATGCAGCAGGGGCAGAAAGAAGAAGGCAGAGGACGTAGTACTTTCCACAGGGCCGAGAGCCTGAGAGCCTCCTCAAAGCCGAAAGCCTCTCTTGCACACCCGCCCGAGTGCAGGAGCTGCTCAGCTGTGACAGTGGGGCCTGCAAGCCTTACCGCATCCCCGCCCCTGTGCAGCCTCCAGGAGGGTCTCCAGCTGTGTGAGGTCTACAGTGCCAGCTTGCTGCCAGCCCCTAGGGTTGCTCAGGTGTTCTGCCTCCCCCCTCCTGTCTGGCAGCAGGACAGTGTCTGCCCAAGGACAAGGACACTCTGTGCCGCTGGGCTCGCTCTGCGGGGATTGCTGGTTCATAAGCTTGTGGGGACCCAGGGCTCTAAATATACCAGGGTGAGGTCACTGGAGTGGAGACAGGCCATGTGGCAAGCCCAGGACCCTGTCAGGGCCAGAATCCCAGGGCTGGGGACAGGGAGAGGGTGGCCTCGTCCCTGTGGGACCGGCCTCCTCACTGCCCAGTTTGTATTTTTTCTTGGATATTAGTGCTTTGGGGCTCCTAAGAAATCTTTGTCTACCCCAAGGTTGAAAAGGTATTCTCCTGTTTATTCTAGAAGCCTTAGAGTTTTTGCTTTCACATTTAGGTCTGGGATTCATTTTGAGTTAATTTTTGAGTGTGCTGTGATGCTTGGTGTAATTGGAATCAACAATATGTATTTTCTGTGACTTTTCATCCTTCGTGGTTTGAACTTCACCTTGTTAATGCACTGAAGCTGCAGTGTGCTCATTTCTAGTGCTCTTGAATTTCTCAGTCTGTTCCTTCAACTCCTGGAAGACATTGGTGTTGTTATAACATATGACCACATGACCCACACCTTTCTGTGCCATCCCCATTCATTAAATGTGATGGTAATAATAGTACCTTCCCCTTGAGGTTGTGATAATTCAACAAGGTAGTGCTATGTGGAAACAGACCTTGGTAGAACAGGGCCTGGCTCGTAGCAAGTATCGTGTGAGGGATAGAATTGCTTGGTCATGAGACACGCACGTGTTTGATTTGACTAGACACAGCCCCATCGCTCCCCAGAGTTGGCTGCACCCCAGAACTACCTGGTATTGTCAGACCCCATTTCCACCAGTCAGGTGTGTATGCAGTGTAGCAGCCACTGGTGGGTTCGGTCTGCATCTGCTGATGACTAAGAGAGTTGAGCACTGCTGCACGATCTCCTGTTTTGTCCAGTTCCTATTCGTGTCTCCTGGCCCAAGTTCTCTGTATGCTCCAGATGGGTCCTCGGGGCCCTGTGGCATTGGTCTTCTCCCACTTTGACTTTTGCTCTCCTTGTGGTGTCTTTAGATGAACTCTGGAGATCTCATTAATTTAACTAAATTGATTAGATTATTATGTATGGCTCTTTTCAACTTGGTGCACTTTATTTGATAAATCCTTCAACCTCCCATCAGATGGCAGATTGGAGTGCATCTCCCATATGAAGAGGAAATCTTGTTTCATAAACACAGTGAATCTCAGTTGTGTGACAGCCACTTGGACAGGTGGGCGTGTCCATAGACAGGCTCATGGTAAACTGGTCACCATGCACTAGAGGAGGCAGACTGGAGGGTGTGCACTGGGTGCCATGCTGGCCCCTGGGAGCAGGTAGGAGGCTGCACGAGGTGGGGGCTTTGGTGATGCTGGCTCCACTGGCTCTCGCGAAAGGGAGCGTTCTGGAGCAGGCTGGCATGGGGAGAAGTGCCTGGGGTCTGACCAGTAGCTCTTGTTTTGCAGATCCGGAACATGGTGGCGGTGCAGGAAGTCATCTCCAGCCTGGAGAAATACCCCATTACCAAAGAGGCACTGGAGGTGAGCATTTCTGGCCTGAACACTAGGGAGGGCAGTGAGGGCCGGGCCTGGGCTGCCCCAACCCAGGTCTTTCCTGGCTTCTTGGAGCCTCAGAGACTTTGCTCACTGGCCCAGTGGGTCCTTAAGAGGAGTGAGGGGGGCGTGCCTTCCTGGCCTGCACTGTGCCAGCCCACAGCACATGCTCCAAGAGTACCTACCGTCTTCCCACAGGCACTGCAGGAAATGGGTGGCTTTAGTCTGGGGCCCCTTTCTCTGCAGGAGGCCCTGCACACTCTGGGGTGCATGCCCAGCGGAGGTTCCAGTGAGTGACGCTGGCTCAGGGCCCTCTGTTTGCTGTTGCCTTTGCCACAACGTGCTCCCCCAGGATGCTTTGCAGTAGCCTTAAATGGTCCGTCCACAGCCTCCAGGAGTTGGGAGCCTGTGAGATGATGCTTCTGAGCCTGCCGTCTCTGGGACCATAAGGTCTGAGGACTTGGGAGTTGAGAATTTAAATGTCACAAGGGACCCAAAATCCTCGTAGGTTTTGTGTCTGGGAGGCCAGTGGTTTAGGGGCCAGTGGGGTCATTTCAGAGACATGGGGCCCTTCCCCCCATTTCTGTCTCAGCTCCCTTTTCATGGGGTGTCCCTGTCCTAAAAGTGTGTCATCGTCTCTCTCTGGCTGTAGGAAACCCGACTTGGGAAGCTCATCAACGACGTCCGCAAGAAGACGAAGAACGAGGAGCTCGCCAAGCGGGCCAAGAAGCTGCTGCGGAGCTGGCAGAAGCTCATCGAGCCCGTGCACCAGAATGAGGCTGCACTGCGGGGGCTGGCGGGTGCCCCCGGCTCGGCCAACGGGGGCGCCCATAACTGCCGGCCGGAGGCAGGGGCGGGCGGCCCGCCCAAGAGCATCCATGACCTGAAGAACCGCAATGACATCCAGAGGCTGCCCGGGCAGCGGCTGGACAGGCTGGGCAGCCGCAAGCGCCGGGGGGACCAGCGCGACCTCGGTCACCCTGGGCCACCTCCCAGGGTCTCCAAAGTGAGCCACGACTCCCTGGTAGCCAACTCGTCCCCCCTCCCCACCAATGGGATCAGTGGGAGCCCTGAGAGCTTCCCCGGCCCCCTGAACAGCAGCGGGCACGTGGGCCCCGAGGGCAGCCGCCTGGAGCACAGCGAGAATGACAAGCACAGTGGCAAGATCCCCGTCAATGCCGTGAGGCCACACACCAGCTCCCCGGGTCTGGGCAAGCCCCCCAGGCCCTGCTTGCAGACGAAGGCTGTGGTGCTGCAGCAGCTGGACAGGGTGGACGAGACTCCAGGTCCCCCCCACCCCAAGGGGCCGCCTCGCTGCTCTTTCAGTCCCCGGAACTCACGGCACGAGGGCTCCTTTGCCCGGCAGCGGAGCCCATACACATACAAGGGCTCCATGCCCAGTCCCTCGCCTCGGCCCCAGTCACTCGATGCCACACAGGTGCCGTCACCGCTTCCGCTGGCCCAGCCGTCCACGCCCCCCGTGCGGCGGCTCGAGCTGCTGCCCAGCGCAGAGAGCCCGGTGCGCTGGCTGGAGCAGCCTGAGGGCCACCAGCGGCTCGCGGGGTCGGGCTGCAAGGCAGGGCTGCCACCGGCCGAGCCCCTCCTGCCCCGGGCAGGCTTCTCCCCGGACTCCTCCAAGGCAGACAGCGATGCTGCCTCCTCCGGTGGCTCGGACAGCAAAAAGAAGAAGAGGTACCGGCCTCGTGACTACACGGTTAACTTGGACGGGCAGGTGGCCGAGGCAGGTGTCAAGCCTGTCCGGTTAAAAGAGCGGAAGCTCACCTTTGACCCCATGACGAGACAGATCAAACCTCTGACCCAGAAAGAGCCAGTGCGGGCCGACAGCCCTGTGCACACGGAGCAGCCGAGGACAGAGCTGGACAAGCCCGAGGCCAAGGCCAGCCTCCAGAGCCCTTTTGAACAGACGAACTGGAAGGAGCTGTCGCGCAACGAGATCATCCAGTCCTACCTGAGCCAGCAGAGCAGCCTGCTCTCGTCGTCGGGTGCACAGACCCCGGGCGCTCACCACTTCATGTCCGAGTACCTGAAGCAGGAGGAGAGCACTCGGCGCGGGGCCCGGAAGCCGCACGTGCTGGTGCCTCACAGCCCACCCACGGACCTCCCAGGGCTAAGCCGTGAGGTCACGCAGGACGATCTGGACAGGATCCAGGCCCGTCAGTGGCCGGGGGTGAACGGGTGTCATGACACACAGGGTAACTGGTATGACTGGACGCAGTGCATATCGCTCGACCCGCACGGCGACGACGGGCGGTTGAACATTCTGCCTTATGTCTGCTTGGACTGACTGGCCTGTCGGGCTCTAAGTGCATTCCCACCTTGCAGTCAGCCATAGAGCCCGGCGCCTCCAGTGGTTGGGAATCCGGAGGGTGGGGGGAGGTCCGGCCTGGGGTGGGAGGGAGAGGGAACGAGAGTCTCTAGGTCTCTCTGTGCTCTTCCCTCAAAATTCTCCTTCTTTTGTGAAATGCTGCTACCAGTTTACTAACAAAATTGCAAAGGAAGGACCGCGTGGAAGGAAGGCCAGCAAAGTGAGTTCAGAACTCTATAGCAAACCAGCTATAAAAAGCGTTAGCCCCCCACCCCGGAAGAGGTGTGGACGCTTCCCAGCCCCCGGTGAGCTGGGACCTCAGTTGCAGGCAGGCACAGAAAACCTGTGGAAGAGGTTACCTTTAACACAGCAACAGAAGCACGCATCTCATCTCTGCATTTTCTGTTTTTTAACGTGGCCCTGAGTGTTTGAGGCAGTGGGCAACGCTGTGGCCTCTGTTTGCACCCCACCTGGCCAGCTTTTCCATCATGGTGCCAGAAGCTTCTCAGCTCTAGCGAGCTGCTGGCATCAGGCAGGCCAGCTTGCCAGCCAGTTTGACCCATGCTCCCTGGGCGTCCACACATTTGTATCTGGTTTCAGTTACAACCCAATTTTTAAAGAAATGCTGCAAAAATTTAAGTTTTCTGGAGTTTATTTTACCCCCCTCTTCCATCTGACCATCAAACGAATAACGTTCCTTGTTCCTCCCTCTTCATTTTCCCCTTCCTGCACATATCTAGAAAAGTTCACCTTTCTAGAGTCTCCTCCCCAGAAAACACAAAAGTAACCGTGGGTGCTACTGGTGTGTAAGCTGTACTGTTGGGTGAGAAGAGACCTGTCTGTACGCTGGAAACACTCATAACCATTCCTTTAGATTCGTTTGCCTTATGGTTATTTGTCATAAACGCGATTTGCAAAAACAAGGAGCCTTAGTGAATGTACAGTACCTAGACTTCTGTGTTCTCAGGACGCAGAAGGGAGCAACTTTGCTATTTGGTCCAGTAAATGGACACCTTGTGATATAAATGTGGAAATAAAAAAAAAAAAAAAACATTTGCACAAACCAGTCTGAGAACTGTTTTTAATTTGGTCCTTTACAGCCATATCTGCCCTTTCTGGATTCTGGATTAGCCAAGACCTGGACCCCATATCCACGGTTCAGGCCCCACAGCTAGCCAGACCGTGGGGAGGTGGGCAGGGCAAAGTCACAAAGTCAGCCTATTAGCCTTCTGCATGGAGACTGACCTCCACCTTGCCTTTCATTCACTCAGGGCCACGATGCCTCCCACATCTCTAGAGTCGTCACCTGCTAGCTTTGGGTGACAGAACAAGGGGCCACATCTGTCTCCATCCAGACCTCATCTTCCCCAGAAAGAAGCCCTCCCAAGCCGGCTCCACAACCCAGGTCTCAGTGACCTTGTCTTACTTGCCCCCTAAAATATTTGTAGTTCTTAAATGGCATGGCTCCAAGCTGTGTTTGGCAGCCTAGCCCTTGGCCCTAGCTAGCCCCAGGCTGCCAGCTCCCCATGCAGGCCTGGGGCTGTCTTACTGTCTGGCTGGGGCTGACTTTTTAAAAAATAACTTTTCTTCCTTGACTTCCTTGATAATCTTTTAATTCATCCCCCGTGTCTCTGAAACTGTATGCTTCGGCTTTCTAGTTTTTATCACTCTGGAATAGGTCTTGTCCATATCTACTTAATTTCACAGGTAAGGAAGCAGCTACCCCTTTAGAGGGGCAGCCCCACAAGGCAAACCACGGGGTCCAGGAACATTCAGTCAACCCAGAACCACAGTTTCAGAGCCAGTGGGGAATTCTGACATAGCCGTGGTGCAGGACACACCCACTCCTAGAAAAAGTAGGTGAAGTAACTTTAAGGGCAGTGTGAGGTTGAACTCTGCCCCTGCCATCTACCATCTGTATGGATCTGGGCTAATCACTTTACTCCTGTGCACCTGTCCCCATTTGGGAGCTGCAAGTGCTACCCCAGAGTTGTGAGGACTAAATTAAATCATCAGGCTTTAGGGTGGAAAAAAGGAAAGCATGTCAGCAGGACCATTTGTGCTGTGGAGTAACTAGTTTCCTAAGTCCACTGTGCCTGTTTTCTCACTTTGTAATATGGCCAGCTGACCTGTGGGTATCCTGAGGGTGACATTATTCTTGTGACAAAGGGTCACAGGCACAGCTGGAAACTATTAGGGTGCAGGTTGGCATCCCATGAGCCTGTCCTCTCATGCCTGGGCTTTGAGGGAGGTCACTGCTCCCCCACCCCCTCCAGGGACCACCTGTCCTGTGTCTGAGTATCTGGTCAGCCCTAGGGTACAAATATTGCCTGCCTTTGAGAACACAAGGTTAAGCTAAGACCTGCCACCAACCTTTGGGGATCAAGTTGGGCTGTCACTTTTTAATTTGCCAAGTAAGGACACAGTAGAAGGAAATTTTAACATTCCCTATCCCCCCAAAAGTTGGAAGTACATGACTTTTCGAACAAAGTCCTTCAGTATAAGATCATCTTGCTGAAAACACCGTTTTGTTTTCCTCCGTTGCGGCTTGGGGCTGCTCTATCCCAGCCGGTTCTTGGGCGTCAGCACTCGGGGCCAGCATCACGCCCCTCCCTCCTGCAGATCCCCTAGAGACAGGTGCCCGAGGAGGCTGCCATTACCACGGCTCCCAAATTGGCCGGAGGATCTAAGCCACGTCGCTTCCCTTCTCTGGGCTTCAGTCCGTCAGTCGGTGAAATGAAGATGGTAATACCATCTTCGTTTCACCGCACAGCGCACATCGAGTTCCCAGAACGTGCTCCGGGGCGCTCTGAGGTTGGCCCCTCTGTTGGAGTCCAGCCACGGGAGTTCGCTCCCGGTTTGCAGAAAGAATTTGGCCCAAGGAGAGGTTTTTACAATTCGGTTTCTCTCCCCGAAAGGTCTGGTCTTTTACCTTCGTTGTCCGCCGCCGGCCATCAGGAATCTGGCTGGGGGGCGCCGATGCAGCCCGGACATCGAGGTTTGACCCACGAACTCGATCGCCCGCTCACAGACACCGACGTGGCAGGGCCTAACGCTCCCGCCCGCCCCTCCTGCTTGTGCTCTGGGACCCCGTCCCCGGTCCCCCGGGCCACCCCACCGCTTGAAGAGCCCTTGTGGCTTTACGGTCCCCGTTCCTTCCTTCCGCTTACGGGACAGGCCCCTCTCTCCCCCTTTGGGCTTCCGGAGGGGGCGGGGCCTGCGCGCGCTACGTGGTGGCGGGCGCGTCTGCCGGCGCGTGTCAGTGATGCAAGAGGTGGCGGCCAATGAGGAGCGGCGTTGGCTGGCGCTCCCGCTCCCGTCCGGCCCCACCCCCGCCCGGCGTCGGGCCGTCGGACGGGCGGGAAGGGGGTGGGCGCTCGGGGAGGATGGCGGTGGCGGCGACGGCGGGTGTGGGCGCTGGTGCCGGGGGCCCAGGAGCCGCGGGCGGCAGCGGCGGGGCGCGCGAGGGCGCGCGGGTGGCGGCGCTGTGCCTGCTGTGGTACGCGCTGAGCGCGGGCGGCAATGTAGTCAACAAGGTGATCCTGAGCGCCTTCCCGTTCCCCGTGACCGTGTCGCTGTGCCACATCCTGGCGTTGTGCGCGGGGCTCCCGCCTCTGCTCCGCGCCTGGCGCGTGCCCCCAGCGCCGCCAGTCTCGGGCCCTGGGCCCGGTCCGCATCAGTCGCCGGGCCCGCTCCTGCCACCGCGCTTCTACCCGCGCTACGTGCTGCCGCTCGCCTTCGGCAAGTACTTCGCGTCAGTGTCCGCGCACGTCAGCATCTGGAAGGTGCCCGTGTCCTACGCGCACACCGGTGGGTGCCAAGCCTGGCCTAGGGGAAGGCGGCCGGGGCACGCCGCCTGGGGCTTCGGCTCTTGGGTAGGAGCGCACCGGCCGGGGTGCAGTCGACGGTCAGGAATGCCGGGCTGAGAAGTCAGCTAATGTCCGGAAGGCGCTGGAGGCCGCCAAAAGCTTTTAGCAAGAGAGGAACACGCACAGGGGTCTCGGGAAGGGAAGGGGCTGAGAAGAATGCTGGGAGCTGAGCAGGGCGGATCAGAACTGTTGGGTTAGGGGGAAGGCCCACAGAAATAGAAGAGCTGAAGCAGGTTGAGGGGCTGCCAAGCCTTCCCGCCCCTCCAGTGGAGTTGGGACAGAGTCCCAGGGTGGGTTCTGGGACTAGAACAGCTCCCTGAACGCCCCTTGCCTCTCTTTGCAGTCAAGGCCACCATGCCCATCTGGGTGGTCCTCCTGTCCCGGATCATCATGAAGGAGAAACAGAGCACCAAGGTAACCCAGGAGGGCTCTGGGCCAGTGGGGGCCCCAAGGGCTTTCTGGCTGTTGCCCAGCTGGTGACGTGGTCCAGGTTCCTGGCCTGCAGGTTGCCTGGCTTCCTGTCAAGGAAGGAAGTCAGCTTAGAGACCTCTGGTGGCTCTTTTGCTGCTAATGTTCTGGACTCACCCTGGGGGCAGTGGTGTGTGGTGTGTGTGTTCCTGAGTTGTCTCTGTTGGGTGATCTCAGGATGCTGCCATCCATCTCAAGTGCAGCGTTCCTTCCTGTTTTGATTACCTACCTGGGGTTGCTGGTAGGCAACTTGGATAACTTGGTCCCATCCTGACCAGACACCCCATGCCCCTCCAGTGGGGTCAGGGTTGGAACATCCTTGGAACATCCGACTCCTTGCTGGAACGGAACTCTGACAGAGTTTCACATCTTTGCAAGAGATAGCGGTCAGGTTGGGACTTCTGGGGTCAGAAGTGAAATGCTAGTCAGAGGAGTCCGATTTTGGCAAAGCCCAGCAAAGTCTTCACAATAAAAACAGCCAGGAATTGTGAATGTCTGGGAATGGAAGTGAAAACAACACGCAGAACCCAGGGCTGCATAGGGAAGATGCTCCGGGCACAATTCAGGGTCTGTTCAAGATGCCAGGCCTGGGTATTTCCTGGCTTGGAGGGAGAGAAGCTGTGGCGTCAGCCAGAGACAGCCTTTCCCTGTGTCCTTAAGTGGAAGTGGGACTCTTGTTGTCCCAGCTGGAATCCATTTCATGCTGGACAGAGCTCCTCTTTCCTATGTGGTCGGTTTCTGGCATCCTGTATTTTATGTAACTTAGAACGGCGGTGCCCTGGATCAGCTTATAGAAATGGGGCCACCTCTGGCTGATGTTTTCTTTCAGCCAGTCTTTTCCCCTGCAAGATCTGGGCGCGCTCTGCAGCCCACCCGCAGGGTGACGTCAGGTGTGACTTGTCTCCCTAGGTCGGAGTTGCCTGAGAGGTGTGCGGCTGCATCTCTCCATATCACATTGTGTTTATCAGGTTTCCTGTTGTAAGGGACATTGTACCCGGCTTGGGCGGGAAGCCAGAACCTTACACAGAGAGGAAAGACAGGGGAATGGCTTAGGCAGGAGACTAAGGATAATGATAGAGTAAGTGTGGTCCCACCCTGTTTGGATAAGCTGGGTAATCATTCCTGATCTCAGGGGAAGAAATGGGACTTCAAAAGGGAGAGCCCGAGGGCGACAGCCAGTAGTGGGGGGAGCAGGAATTCTGGAATTCAGAGGCCTCCCTCGGCCCTGTGTGTGGGCGTTGGTGGGGTGGGAAGCCTCACCACCCCCTCCTAAAGTCTCCCAAGTGCTTTAAGAGTATCCTTTGAGCCAGGAGTAAGAAGAGCTAACTAAGTGTGGGGAATGGATCCCATTTTAGCCACCAGAGTTCCAGGGCCATTCCTTGCCCTAGGCCCTGGAAAGCTTGAGCCTTCTGGAAGGCCCCCTATCATGGCACTCGCTACTGGTTCTTTCGGCCAGCAGTTACTGGGTTGCCTGCCGTGTGCTGGGCACCAGGAGCAGTGAACAAGGAGCTGCCCTAAGCGAGTGCAGGGACGCAGACAATGTAAAGGGCGCTTACAGTGGATGGAGAGCGCTATTCCCTGGAACACACAGCAGAGGAAACTGACAGCGTCTAGGGGGAGGTGAGTCAGGGAAAGTTCTTGTGTTTGTGAACTGACACCTGAAGGGAAAGGAGGTCTCCAGCTGGAGAAGGTGTCGGGGGAGTGTCCCTACCAGG